ATCAAACAATAAAAAAGCGGTTCCAAACCTTGTTTTAAATGCCACTCTCCCCTATCTAGAGGACCCCATAGCTATTTTGGCCAATACTTTTGAGTAAATCTTTCAACATGAACACCAACCCCTTGTGCCTTGCAGGTGAGTTTCTTTTTTTGAATGAAAAGGACAATATCATCAAGAGGCACCAACAAGTTGCTGCCCATATACATTTACAAAAGGTTAGGCATCAATATCAACCAAGATCTCCAAGTCCTCATCATAAAAGATTGCTGCCACATCAATGAAATACTTAATGAATCGAACCAAGTCGTCATCATTCTTGTGAATGAATTTCTTTTCCTTCTCAAAAACACAAACAAAAGTCTCTGTTTAGTTTAAGACACTGAGAGGTCAAATCACTATAGATTCCTTCTTCTGTTTCCTTTTTTTTTTTTGGAAATAAAAGTATTGTAAATTTATAGGTACCAAAGAGGTACCACCCATTTACACCTCATTTACAGCCCAATCAAATGATCCATGACATTGCCAAGATCCTCAAATCCATCAATGTCATTACCCAAAATAATAGAACCAAAAATGTATATCCATCTATACCTAATGATAGAAAAATCCTTTTCAACCCCTTCAAAGCTCTAGCATTCCTCACTTTTCAAACAATCCAAAAAACAGTAATAGGGATAATCATTAAATATTTTTTCTTTCTACATAACCCAGCCCATCCCATAATTCTTTCTTCTGTTTCTTAATGGCCAATTATGTCCACACCTCACTTCAACATGCTTTTGATGGAACTTCTCTAACCCACACCATTTAGTCCTCTCACATTCCATGAAATGATTTTGTTAATTATCATAAAATTTTCATCAAACTTTTCCAGCATTCCACTCTAGGTTGGTGTTCCTCTTTGTAATTATTAACAGAAAACTCCAAGTGCCTCAATTCCCTACCACTTCATCTTCCACCACTATTCTTTGTTGTAGGAGTAGGTGACGTTTGACCAACACTTCAATCAAAGATGGCTTGCCATTAAATGGCTCTTATAGGTCCATAACTTGATCTTCAAACCAGTCAACCAAATACCCAAAAAGTGGCTCAAATTTCACTTTTAACAACACCCAGTCAGAAAGCAAGCAAGGGGCCAACTTTAGTAGGGTAGACAAGAACAGAAGATCCATTAGTCTCTCCAAGAAATTCATTACAACATTTCACAACCCTAAATATCTTGGCAGAACATTCAACTTCTACACCCAACTAATTCTTCAAAGAGCTCAGCAAATAGAGATAAGCTGCATGAGGGGGTTGTTGTAGCCCCTAGATCAGAAATAGCACCTTCAGCAGTTTATAAATTGAAAACCAACTCACATCCATTTGCTTCAGACAACTCAAAGCAACTCCAAGAAAACTTGTGTGACAACATTAAACAGCATAAGAGGAAAATGAAGAAATATGGGATCTCCAAAAATGTCTTAGAAACTATTCGCCACTAAGGTCTCTCAAGCAGCCAAATACTTGGGCTTAATGAGTAAAGAGGAGCCACAGTCCCAATCAGCTAAAAGGAAGACTTAACGGGTTGTCGTTGTCACTTAGGACTTCTGCCTCTTTGATGCCTCTTTCTCTATTTGTATTTTTAATCGGGGATGACTCTAACATTACGGACTGCACTAGATGCTGAAAGGGCCTTAGCATAGATTGTTAAGGTGTCACCATTGTAACCTTAACCACAACCACAACACCACAAGGGGGACAATCAAACTCATGCAAAGCAACACACTCTCCAATCAATCTGCTTTAAGCAAAGAAGGAGCTTTACTCACTAAGGAAGGATGTACACAAATTGATGCCCATGACATTTTATTCTTTCCTTTTTGAAAATCCAACCAAGAAATCCATGCCACGGCATTAAGCGCCATAACTCATCTATGTATGTTCAAGAAGTAACATTCTGCAAGAACCTCCAGCATTCACTAAACTAAACTCCAGAGAATTCCCTATTTCCTTTCTCCCCAAACACATCGAAAGCTCTTCATCACCCTAGATAGTATACCTTCATGCAGAAGGAATCACTAAGTGACTAAAATAGCCATCAAACCTACAAATCAAACGAAAGCAATTTTTGTGAGCCTCGAACTACTGTCAACTTTCCCTTTAAGACTATCTTAAAAGACTTCCATCTATCACTAGGAGCTTCCTAGGAGAGAAGAACCTCATGGATGCTAAGAACAAGAAAGGAGGGATGCTGTGAGGAGACTTCAACCCACAGTCCAGAGGCAAGCCAATGGCTACTTTGGGGAGGGAGGAGGGAGAGAAAGAGAGAGGAATATCCTTCTAAACAAATGAACAAACCAAAGACAATGACATGGGATAAACATATTAGCTAAAGGTATATGATAAACATAGTTCATCAAACCAAGTTTACTTGTCTGTAAGTTCACAAGAAATCATATGATATGTACTTTAATAGATCTCTAAATTGCAAAATACAATGAAAAGATTGAAAGAAAAAAAAAGAACATATGGCAATAAATTTCACTAATAAAAGATGGAAATCAAAGTAAACACAGATGGATATCGACTTCACTAATT